CAGCGAAAGAACAGAAAAATAAAATCTGTGTTCGTCATCGTGTGAAGATTGATACGCAAAATCTTTCCGCGAAACTTAAAACTGCGTAAATGAAATATTGTGTTACCTAGGGAGATCGTATATCCCTAAATCCCTATAGATCTCTAGAAGAGAGTGAAGGAGGTCAAGCGCCCTCCTCTCTAGCGGTGATCCACACAGCAGGGCTGCGATGACGCTCCTCAAAACTCCAGGCCTGCTCTGAGTTGGAGAGGAGGAGGAGAATAGGAGAGATAAGCAAAAGGCTCTAGCCTATGAACCACTGATTCCCTCCTATTTATAGAGATCTCTCGTCAACTTAACCCTAATATATGCTACCATATTGAGTATTGGATCTTCATCCAACTACCCAAGCCTCTTAGATTAATGGATCCCTATCCAATAATCTCTCATTGGTGCTTATTAAATCTAATCCATAGGATCCAATAATTCAGGGGCTTATTGGATATCCAATAAGATAGGGGCTCCGACGAATATCTCATATCTGAACCTCTACTCATCGTAATACTTATCATATTGTGTGACTCTCTATGCTCAATTTCGAGCTAGCATGAGTCATACCTGTTAGAACTCCTTCTAGCTCAGTGAAGTATTATCTTCATAATAATTCACTCGATTCATCGACTACGGACGTCCTAAGCCACTACGTCGTAGTCTCCAAATGATATATGGGAATCCAATCCATTGGACATGTATGTTCTCAATTACCATGTACTTATAGTTCATCATCCATCTAATATCCCAGAGACCATATATCGGATATGGTGCTGTCAGACTCATATGGTTTTTACTCGAGTCTCGCTCTACTTAGATTCTCTTGGAGAACTCTTTCTCTCTCAATCCGAATGATCCTAGCCAAAGATTTGTCTGAGCAAGAACACATGGGACATTCCTCTCATGACACCAAGAGTGGATGATCCTCTATCGACACTCAATAGCCCTCGTAAGGTTGACTACCACTCCCGATGACCAACTGTGCTGGATTTGGGACATCAAAACATATAAGTCTGGAATCAAGGTGTGGAGCACTCATACAGGACATCCTTAGTGTCTCAAGTCTAAGGATCAGATACATCACTAGGACTACGGAATCAATGTATGACAATAAGGCATCATCAACCATTTAACATTTCGTAAGCGGATCAATCGGTGAACTCATTCCCCATTGAGCACCTATATTGTATCCCTAGTGTTCCCACACGAGTAGCTATGAGACCAACTGCATCCATCATATAGACGGGTATACAACACACCAGTCTATCTGGTTATCTCGATGTCCCTCTTAAGTAACCTATGATCGGGATTATTTAGAATCTGTGTTTAAAGGCGATCTTGATCTCATCACGATCTGATTCTCATTGCACAGATTCAAAGACATCACTATATATATATATATATATATATATATATATATA